TTAATGAGAACACTTTTAACATCAACTTAATTTTGTACTTAGTTTCTTTCTTTTTTCTTCTTCTTTTTTTTTTTTGGAAATGTGGAAACTGAATTATAAATACAAAAAAACAAAAAAGATAATCCATCTAATTTTCAGACAGCCACTCTTCCTGCACTATCCATTCATTTTCATGAAATCTGGCTCTTTTGAACCGGAATCAATTTCGTCACTGCTCTGACCTTTGACCTTTCCAATAGCAAGAAATATGTAATGTTACGGGTTTGGCTTTAACCAAGTCATACTGCTCAGTCTCCTTTACAGTAAGCTGTTGAAAGACTCAGTGAAATGCATTAACTGTGCTGTGCTCACATTATGAAATGATTCAGCGTGTTTGGATGTGGAGCCAACACACGTATGTCATCATACTCCCGGTAAAACTGACCCTTCTCAATGTCACAACATCCGATCTGACAGGCTGTGTGTGTGTGTGTGGTGTGTGTTCGTGTGTGTGTGTGTGTGTGTGTGTGTGTGTGTGTGTGTGTGTGTGTGGTGTGTGTGTGTGTGTAAATTGCTACATAATGAGGAAAGGTTAAATATTACCAGCAGATAGTTAATGACTAAAATTGAGCTAAACAGTGTAACCAGCTGTAAAATGTAAAAAATGAAATATCTTTGAAGCTAGTGTAATCTAAACCCCACAATAAGAAATCCAATTTACATCCAAAGCAGAAGACTTTTGATCAAATGCAGACTAGTAATATTAATCAATAGTTTAATTATAGCAAAGAGGTTAAATGATCTGGACTCTTTCAAACAATGAGAGGAACTTTTACATCAATTGTTGTCGTTGTTGTTGTTGTTGTTTGTTTGTTTTTTGGTGGAGTAAAAATAGCAGAACATCGCTGGATTTCCGGCTGAAGGCTGCCGCCCAGTGGACAACAGAGGAAAGTCACGTTTTAATCTTAAAAACTTCACATTCCTGTTAAACTGCAGCGCATGCTTGTGTGCTAAAAATTTCTATCCACATAAATATTTTTTACATACAATATTTTTACATAAAAGTGAAACTAGGATAAAAGGAAAGTTTTCTGGATATGATACAAGTGTAATTCACAAACATCACAATGATATTATTCTCCAAATGAAAGTGTGGGGAGCTTGTAAGTAACATCTTTTATTCAGTGCATCGATAATGTCAGTGCAAACTCAGACTGAAGGAATGTAAGTTTACTTTAAAGCTGCTTCTCTTTCTCACAGAGAAAATGTTCTAATTATCACATGATGACCAGCAGTCGGGTTACAGGGAGCTGGCTGGGTGCAGCAAATGCAGATGAAAGTAAAAAGCGTGGATGAGGCTTGTCAGGCAGCTGTAGGACACGTCCTCCTGTTTGTTGCACATTGGCCATGAGAGGTCGAGGTGTCAGCCTCCTTCAGACAGAGACAAATGTCGCCCCGCCTGGTTTTCTATTCAGCTGCATGTGTTGTCGGTCCATCAGAGGCTAATTAACATAGCAGGATCCCCAGTGATCCCACGCTGCTCGTTCTGTCTATACACAGCTCCTGTTACACTTTACGGCATGCACAGCAGGACGCTTCCAACGAGATGCTGCTGTTTCAATCAGGCCCAAAGTAAACTGGACAGCATGTGAGGACTGTGTGTCTGCATCCACGCAAAGGTCATATCAGCCAAAATCGCTGCTTCCTGCATGTTTCCACAAAAAGCCCAAATGCAGTTAACACATGATTTTTATAAACACACACTGTCACATATCTGTGCACGCTGTGGGAATGAAAGAAGCCTTTAATGTTCTGAAAACTGTTTCCTGTGCTCTTTAAAATTGTTTTCATGATGTCATGTTGGACCTGAACTCTGTCTTCTTATGTTTGCTTTTGGGGAAATACCTGGTGCAGGAAAATCAAAGGCAGGGAGCCACTCCCACAAAACAACAACGAAATGTGGAAAACTATTCCTAAAATGTTTATGGAATCATACTAAAGAGACACCATTCGAAGGTTCAGATGAATAAAAGTCATGAGATGACTAATGACTCTCGGTTATCACAGACTGGTTTCTTTACAGGAACATCAGGAACATCCAAACTGAGGCAGTACTGTCTGAGGAGATGTATTGTTGCATTTATGACACTGGACAGGGAACCCCGCTGAACATCCTCACAGAAAATCTTCAGGGAACAAAAACTAAGATTTCCTGGTTTCAGGAAATACTCTAAAACAGTCACAGGCCGGAAACACCTGTAATGTTTCAAAACCACTCCAGGATCCAGGAAAACTGATCGAAGATCTCAGGATTCCTGAGGTGATCATGGAATTTGTTCAAGCATCTCTGGGTTTCCTCGTAATAACCTCTGAAATTGCTAAGTGGAGCAAATCTCTCTTACAACATCCCAAAAAGGTTGAGGGGGGTTTGCAAAGCACCTAAAATTAATTTTAACTTACATTTTCTTCTAAAAGCTTCTTTTAAAGCAATCAAGACTTAACAGACCCGTGAATGTTTATGAAATTCCATCAGTGCCTAAAACCCAATCAGTGATTCCCAGAGTCCTCACCTAATTGTCTGATACACCCCAACCTCTGAGCAGATAAGCGACCACCCGCGAAATGATCAAATTCCACGAAGGAAAAATATCAGAATTAATAAATAATCAATACAAAATCAGGACTCCCTGCAAAGACCCTTTAACAAGCTACATTTCTTAAATCAAATTAAAGGTCCCTGGAAAATCCTTATGCGGAGTTCAGCTAAAACCTGGAAATTCCTTGGCCTTGGAAATTCACCAAACATCCCTTAGATTAACTCCTTAAAGCCTACAACTATTTCACGGATCCATATAATTCCTTCAAGGAACTCCGAAGAGTTCAAAAATAACCCCTCTCTGAAAAGTCATTGAAAGACCTCCAGGCCGTGACGTCCACATTTCTCCTGGAGGGTCCGGCTCTGCGCGACCCGCCTGTCCGGCCCTCCGGCCCGCTCTCAGGATCAAAGCATTCCCGGCGTGGATGCAGCAGCCGCGGGTGGGCTGCAAGTAACCTCCGCAGTAAATTAAGACGAAGAAGCAAATAAAGCTGCACCTGCGGACACTTTTTGCCATTTTTAGTATTTGCCAAAAACTGATTGCTCGTATTTAAACTGCTATAAGTAACTTGTTGGGCTATAATATGTGAAACATGTCAAATTGGATGACACAAAGTCATATTGAGCCACAAACAACATTCGTGTAACAGGGTAGAAGCTGCATTTGGCAGCGACTTTTATATAACCTTTATTTATGTAGTTAAAAAAAAACCTCATTAACATTAAAAATGTGTTTTTAAGAGTAAGTTGGCCAAGAGCACAGCAGCAAATATTACGATATTCAGTAAAACTATTTTAGGTGGGGATAAAGGAGCAACCCGGTTATAATGTACAATAACACAGAGTTGTAAAGATACTTGAAAAACCGATAATTTTTAATTCTATATATAAACACTTTGTAAACGCTGTTCACCGAACTCTGTTTACCAACATACGTAAAGATATTACACATAAAAATACACGGAAACATTGGACATCGGTTTTTGCCAGGCGATCACTTTTTGGCACAACACCGGCTCACCTTGAGTCCGCGTGCCAGAAAAGCACAAAGCGGGACCAGGTCCTCCGTGAAAATAAGAAATAAAGATCTGAACTCGTCACGGAAAACAAAGAGCTAATAAAAGTCTGTAACTATATTTAAATTTGCACCGGAGAAAAATCATATTACTTGAATTATTATATTATCTTAATGATAATGAGAATTATAAACAGATAAAAATGTCATTTAGGAAAATCTCTTTTTAATATTACGCATGCGCACAGTGACAGTAAATTCAAAATATGTGGACATTTTTAGTTTGAAAAAATCCCGCAGGACAGAGTCCCACGGCCTTCTTTCTCAATGCAGCACATGCGTGACATTAACTCGCAGCAGTCCGCGCTGCCGTCCACTGTGAAGGCCTGTGTGCGCGTGTGCTTTGTCCCGCAGTCAGTTCCCGTGAAAGTCGGTTGACAATGAATAAATGTCACGTGTCCGTGTTTTTGTCTTTGTGAGGCTGACTCTCAATCAGCAGCCCGCAAACAAAGATGCACGCGTGCAAGGCCCACGTTCAGTCATTAGTGTCACGGGTGAAAAAGACACTGAGGACCAGAGAGAGAGCACTCAGACACCCGGGACTTCATCTCAGCCGTTTATAGCATTAAAGGAGAATTATGAGGGTGGATTTCCAAAATAAAAGCAGCGAATAATAATAATCAGATGTATTAATATAATATTCAGATATTCTATATAACGCGGCTGCTGGTCTGAGGCACATTTGGGCCTCCGTATCCTCCAGCTGCTGTTTTGTGTGGGGCTCCTCTTCATGCTGACACGGTGGGTTTTTCTCTCAGGTGTGATTGTTGTGAAAACACGGTAATCTCCCCCGGTTATCTGTGCCAGCTGCACGGACTGTAACAACCCGCAGGACACCTGTATCGCCCCGCCCACCCCCGTCTGTGGGCAGAGGCCCAGCAGAATAATGACGTCAGGAAGTGAATCCACCAGGTTCAATCTTTTTTCAATCTTTATAATATCATCTTCTCTTTTTAAAGGCTTACTTATTAATAAATGACAGTTTTCCTCATTTGCTCACTGAAAGTTACAGTTTTGGAAAATTCTGTTTAATTTGTTCGTTTTTTCAGCTGAAAACTAAAAAGCTCGATTTCCATGACGCGCAGAGGACAGTGAGCCAGGCCTGAAGCTCCGTTTCTGCTCACACGAACCTGAAATTAAACGCAGACATGCTGTTGCGCTGGTGTCCTGGACGACTTTCTCTTTTTCACATCTTCCCCCTTTCGGCCTGTCTTTCCTGGAAAGTGCCCTCCTGAAGTAACCGCGGGGCGCGCGGTGCTTGTGGCCGACGCTCCGCCCGCCCCCTGCATAACTGCTCCTGCTCCTATTGGCTCTTTGCGTGTTTGTAAATGAGCCAATCAGAGGGCAGCCTGCTTCGGTTCATAGCGGTGTGGCTCCTTGTGACCGAGTCAGAGGAAAGTTGGACGCGTCCCCGGCGCGGTCTGCGTTTATCCGCTCAATTAACGGCTAATTACAAGCTCGAGTCTGGACCGTGTGTGTGTGAGTGTGTGGCGTTCATCACGGTGTTAACGACGTTGCCCCGCCCTGCTGGACTCCTGGAGGTAAAATTCATTCCGTTTTTTAAAAGTGTTTCTCGGCTCAGTCGCTCAGACGCAGATTAATTAAACCGGTTTAATTAAACTCTGTGAGCCAGTGTGACCCAAATATCCCGGGTTATGTGACAAACTCCTCTGAGATCCAGCAGACTGTTGGAGTTTTACTAGTTCTGGTTTTATTAAGGCCTCACTTTCTCTGATTACAAACTGTCGTGTTAAAATATTTCACAGCTGTAAATAAAAATAAATCTTCAGCCTTCTGAAAAACTTCAAGCTGTTTTGAATTAAAAAAAACGAACAACAGATTTATTATTATCTTTTTATTCTTGTAGATAATCTACTTACTAGACTAAAAATATTTTTATTTTATTATTTTTTAAATAAGAAATGACAGTCCTGAGAGTTTGGGATAATTCATGAAACTGTCCAGATGAGGAAATGGGAATATTTGGTGTGTTAAGTCTGACAAACTGGTGATATTTACATATTTTAAGTGCCAGTTTTTCTCACCTGATCTAATCTAATAACTCGTATTCGTCTCCAGGTACAAACTGGCTTTAAATCCGGCAGACATGTCAGAGAACTCCGGGTGTGAGCTGGAGATCGACGTGGAGAGCCTGGAGACGGAGAGCGAAGAGCTGGCCGACTCCTCCGAGCGCCCCGGCTCTCCGCAGCTCGGCCACGCCGCCTCAGAGGACGACTGCCCCGGCACCAAGAGCCGCGACAGGGCGGGCCCCATGTGCGCGGGTGACCAGAGGAAACTGAGCCGCACGCCGAAGTGCGCCCGCTGCCGCAACCACGGCGTGGTGTCCTGCCTGAAGGGCCACAAGCGCTTCTGCCGCTGGAGGGACTGCCAGTGCGCCAACTGCCTGCTGGTGGTGGAGCGGCAGCGGGTGATGGCGGCGCAGGTGGCCCTGAGGAGGCAGCAGGCCACGGAGGTGAGACTGAGGGTGGTGTGTGGTGGAGGTGCTGTGCTGGTGCGTTCAGGTGCTTCGCGCTAATAACGCAGGAAGGACTCACGTGTGTGATGAAGCGTCTCCGGTTAATCAGCTGCTTGCTTGGAAGTCTGAGCCTGGATCACTGCTGCCCTGCAGCTCAGGGTTTTCAGCGGAAAGTTCAGATGATCAGGACTGTTTGAAATCAGGCAGCTCAACATATTTATCTCCTCACACAGCAAGCTGTGGCACTTGGAGCCGCTACAGTGACCTGTGGCCTTTGACCCCTCAGTGTTAGTGAATCAGGCCTTGCTTCTGTGATCGCAGCTTCTGCTGTGCTGAAGCCCTTCTTTTGTAAACGGGGCAGTTTCTGCTTTTGTCTGTGGGAAAGTCGAGCGCTTCTTCGTGTTGTTTTTGATAACTGCGGCACATTTGCACACTGACCTTTGTGCTACAGTGGAAGAAAAAGAAAATCGCTGCGCTGATTCTTCCAAAGTTTTTATAAGAACCCGAAGCCTTCAGAAGCGCAGTCCGTGTTATTTTAAAGGCTCTGTGTTCGGGCTTGCAGCCGATCAGAGTAAAGCCGAGGCTCAGTGTTCAGCGTGAATGCAGTCGCTCAGCGTGCACTTTATATCGCTTTGTTAGCTTCACTGAACAAACACGAATATAAAGGCACATCCGAGGAGCCGTTGGAGGTTTTCGAGGTTCATTCAGCAAATGAGGAATATTTTGTTTTTCCCCCAAATAAAGGCTTAAGAAGAGAATTTGAATAAAAACACAAAATCACAGCTGTTCCATGTGTGTGTGAAAGATCTGCGCATATTTCTGTAAAAGAGCAAAACTGTTACGGCGCCAGCATTTTAAAGATGAGACCAGATGAATGTTTCCCAGTTTGTGTCATCAGCTGAGCTCCTGTTAAATGCCCTAGTTTATATCTTTAACAAACACTTTCTCTCATTTCTATTACTGCAAAAAAATAAAAACTAAATGTGTTAAATGTTAGATTGACTTGTTAGGCCTGCGTCTCCGTCCTGTTTAGGGCTGTTTCGAGGCCTTTTCAAGGCTGTAATAACACGAGAAATGTGTGTCGCTGCCCATATTTTAACTGGATTATTATTAAGAGGCTGGTTTTTATTATCCAAACATACATGGGACTTGGACCTCAGCTGTTATTTTAACAAGGATTAAGGTGAACACTCTGTCAGCGTCTTTTAAATATTTTTCTTTTGTTTCTCTAATTTCTCAGGATAAGAAAGGCATATCCGGGAAACCAATTCCTGCAGAGAGGAGGACGATATATCAGCGACACATCCGACCGTCCACCATGCTCGCCAAAAGCATCCTCGAAGGTACGGCTCAGACAAAAAGAAAAGCTCCTCTTCTGCCTCTCCTTCGCTCGAAGCGGGGCTTACATTTCTTTTTCCTTTAACACCAACGGGGCGATAAGGACGTGCTAACATCTGTAAGCAGTAAAACTCTGGCACGTGATACGCTAACTCGTTTAGCAGCATTACAAAGTATAAATAGCTAATTAGATTATTATCTATGTTGGGTGTCGTAATATAATTCCAAACACACTCGATGTCATAAAAGTTGAAGTAAATGTTTGATTTTCGATGACAGGATATCGGCCGGTGCAGTCTGATCCGTTCCTGGCAGCCAACCCGTCTCTTCCCCCACCGCTGAGCGACCGCATGAGGAAGAGAAGGGCTTTTGCAGACAAGGAGCTGGAAACCATCATGCTGGAGCGGGAGTACAAAGAACGAGAGCTGATGGAGAACAACCAGGGGGCTCCAGGCTCTCTCCTCTTCCCCAACGGCTTGGTCCACCACTCGTCTGAGTACAACTCCTACAAGACGGCCTACTCGCCGGCAGCTCCGGTCGAGCCGCAGCCCAAAGAGCTGTGCAGCTTCCTCTCCCCTAACTGCCTGGATCTGGGCATGCAGTACCCCTCGACCCCTGGGAACGTCGAGCTCATCTCCTCCAACGTCAGCGTGGCGACCACCTACCGCCATTACCCGCTGCAGCCGTCGCGAGGTGGCTTCGTGATGTGGCCCCGTGGCGCAGCCAACCTGGGAGACGCTCTTCTGTACCAGCAGTGCCTGTTTAACGCCACGGCGGTGCAGAACATGAAGCCCGGTGCTGTGTGGGAGCCCAAAGCGATGCCCGCTGAGAGTCAGCCGCCAGAGCAGGAGGCCGCGCTCGCTGCTAAATTGGAGGGATCCCGAGCCGCTGCTCTGCAGGACTTATCAGACCCTCAGAGGCCCGACCCCAAACCTCCTGCCGTCACCCAGGGGGAGCAGAGGGAGTGCTCGGCCTTCTCTCCTCCTAAGAGGAGCTTTGGACAATCTTTCCCCAACCACCCTCATTCCCAAAACTCCAGCCAAGTCCTCAGCAAGTTAAGCAAGGACAGTGCTAAGCCTTCCATGAAACTCAACTCCTTTCACTCCCTCATCCAGCACTCGCTGAGTGAAAAAGCCAGCGGCGGGTCCGGGCCAGAGCTCAGAGCTCCGTACTGCAAGGAGCTGTTAGAGGAGGCGGCCCGCAAGTACAGGGAGAGCTCTGCCAAAGACTTTCAGGCGGTAAAACTCGCAGACAGGTACGCCAAAGACTTTCTGTCCAAGCCTGTAGGGACCAAGATGGCGCCCAGCGAGTCTCTGTCCTTCTCCGTGGAGGCCATCCTGAAACGGCCCACGCCCGCCATAAGTCGAGCATTCCATTAAAATCCACGAGGTGTCCTTTGTTGCACTATAAACACGAGGCTTGTCTCAGCCACAGATCAGCTGCAGTTGTGGTTTTCGGGGTCAAATGTAAACGTGAGCACAGCATCGGAAAATAGACCAGTTTGAAATGATTGTTTTTCCAGTGTAATATTTATGTACAGTGTATAATATTTTACACGCGCATGTTTGAATAACTTTATTTGTGTCGAGTATTTAAACACGATGTCGATGTTTCCCTCACGTCAATAAACTTTATAAGACTGAACTTCCATAAAAAGTGTCCGATGTCATTTCATACTCGAGTTGTGCGAGCGGGTTGTTTAGGTCAGAAGTTAGTCTGCACCGAGCGATGAACGACTGCGGCCGGACGCAGAAACACGAGGAACTTCAGTCCTGATGGATTATAAGAAAAACACACACAACCCTAATGTTTTTTTAATCATTTTTTTCATGTTGCACTATTAATAATTTAATATTTGGGCTTAGACTTAATACTTCATTTTGTAACACCTCGTTTGTTTCGTGCCCATTAAAAGCATAAATTCAGACGAGCTGTTCCTCGACTATAACCAGGGCTTCTTTAATAAAAGGGAACTAGAGTTACAGACTCGTCCTGCAGACATTTTAACCTTACTTTTCCATAACGTGGTTAAAAACCTGTTTCCTTGACCTTTGCACTTTAGTCGTTTGCAGGGTCATTAAGTTTTTACAGTAACTCTGCGACAACTAAAATATGTTTCAAATGAATGTAGCGGACAATATCCCATCACTCCTGCAGAGCCTCAGTGAAAAACTAAGAAAAAGAAAATCCCAGGAATGTTTTTATCACTAGAGTTTTGCACAAAGACAAATTTCACAAGTAAACCACATAAATGAGGTGTGGATGTGACAGAGTGGATGTAGACTAAATATGCTCTTCAGGGGCTGAAACACGATATCGGCTCATAAATCTGCGAGCAGCATCATCTCATCCGTTCATGATGCATTTCTCCACTCATTCCTTTCCACTTACAGCCTCTCAGTGTGTGTGTGTGTGTGTGTGTGTGTGAGTGTGTGTGTGTGTGTGTGTGTGTGTGTGTTGAAAGGAAGCTCCAAACACGGGTTTCACATGAGCAGCAGAACTCTGATCCGTGCAATAATGAACAAGACAGGAGGTTAAAAAAAGTCACTAATCTCTTGTTTCTGGCACGGACGTTTCATCGGCATGAATCTGCAGCGAAACCACTCGCCTGATAAAAAGAAGCATTTTTCCTTCACTTTTCTCTTCTTTAAGCCTGCTGAGACGTCTCACGTAAAGCAGAGACTGTGGGCGTGTGATTGTCTTGAACAGCTTCCTCGTTGCTGCTGTAATTGGATTTGGCCAGACGATGACATTTTGTGTCACCGATGACGACTTACATCACTTTAAGTAGCCTGCGGTTGCACTTTGTTTTTCACTCTGTGTGTGTGTGTGTACATGTTAAGACATCTTTGTGAGGACAGACAACCTGCATGTTACTATACTTGTGGGGACCAACATTCACTTATGGGGACAAAATGCTTGTGTCCACGAGTTTGAGGCATTTTTGAGACTCAAAATGTGGTTTTAGTGTCAGGAGTACGGTTAGGTTGTGTTTAGGCTGAGCAGCCAGGGAAAGCATTATGTCAATGAGATGTCCTCACTAAGATATGAAAATGAATATGTGTGTGTGGGTATGTTTACTCACCTTCTTGGTGATGTGGACATATCTGCAATGTGAGGACGATTTGGCTCCTACTTTTAAACTTAGATGGTACCGGGCCGCGAGAGTTAAGGCTCAGGTATGAAATTGATGGTTTTCAGGGTTTTTATGGTTAACTCGGGCCCTTTCTCAATTCTCAAGTACGCGAGTCCGTATAGTGTACATGTATGCCTTAATAAAAACAAGCAGGTAAGATGTTAACGCTTTTATTTTTATTTTAGTGGACACTCAAAAATTACAATAGACAGCTGCTGGGGTTTGGAAGAGAACTGAACAAATATTTGAATATTTACAAAGCTACATTCTAGCTTGAAAATATCTTAAAAGTTTATTTTGTGACCCAGAAAGAGTAAAAGTTTTTAGCCGCGCTCGTCCGCCACTGCCGCGTTTGAGTTTTGGACGAAATGCATTCTGGGATATTTAGCTGTACCAAGTCCACACACGTCACCAAAGATGCATGCGCGATAAAACAGGCGGAGCGAGAACACATCCGGGAATTTTTCGTGTTCTCGGCTTGATGCGTGATCGGGTACTTGGTCTCCGACTGATGACGTATCACGAGTACACGAGAACGCAAGTACGCAGCTCCGAATACGTTAGAGCACTTATGCGTGATGTGTTGATGAATCGAGCAGGTATTTGAAGTTTACACAGAAACATTCTCGCATGAAAATATCTTAAAAGTTTATTTTATGACCCAGACAGAGGAATATTTCAAACTCCGCCACTGCCTCGTTTGAGTTTTGGACCAAATGCATTCTGGGATATTGCATTTTGTCATTTCGAGCTGATTGGAGACCAAAACAGCCAATCAGATTTTTTTGCTTCCAAGTCTGTGATTGGCTGGTTTTGTGGCACAAATATAACGGTGTGGAGAAAGAGTTGAACGCGCACGGGCAGAAACGTTGAGAGCGCGAGCGACACATAGCGAGCGAGCGCAAATGCAAAAACTGAGCGAGAGGGGCTGCTGGTGTGTGTGTGGATAATAGCAAACACTGAAATACAGTTTTTGCACGCAGGAATGAACTTTGTTCACTCAAATTTAGCTTTTCTTCGCTCAAAATAAATTTCTCCTCAAAATGCAACACCTGCACCTGCAAACTTTTTTTTATGTGCGCTCAGAATAGTGGCACAAAAATAACGCCATACCTGTCAGCGCTAGTGTCTTTTAGCGTGTCGTGTTAGTTTCCCCGTCTGTCCTGTCCTCATTCACAGATTGTTTTCACCTGTGGTTGATTGTGTGCACCTGTTTCTCTACTGTTTACTCAGCAAACACTTTCTCAGGAGTTTATGGTATCCGTTGCTAGTTCTAAGTATTATTGAACATAATATCACAATCATTTTGCAACATCCCTGTTAGAGTTAAAAAGCAGGATGAAGCGGTGTACGATTCAGGGCAAGCTTACGTTGTGGCTACAAGCTGCCACCATATTTCATGCAGTGTCCTCAGTTTCTCTGTTAAAGTCACCGTTTATTTGTCAAAGAGGTTTAACTCAAGGATTCACAGCGCAGCTTCGTCTGGACGTGGCTGCAGCCATCTTCTAATACATTGATTCATGCTGTGCATAGTTCACTGAGACGCTGTAAGAAGGGTGTTGTGGATTAAACACGGTTTACAAAGTGTAACTGAATATGAGAGCTTAACCTTTTAAAGATGTTGACTGTATCAGGCTGTGTAAACAACACTGAATTCAACTGAATTCAGTGTTGTTTACACAGCCTTTCACAGATTAAACATGCTCCATCTATAGCCCCAAAGTATCAAATCTGATATGTACTCAGAGCACAATGAAGACAGTGTTTTATCTATGACTTATCAATGTGTGTGTGTGTGTGTGTGTGTGCTCTGCAGAAGGTGACAGTGTTTGTCTGCACTAACCGCCACTGATAAGTATCTGCTGAAGTCCTCACAGTCTCATTCCCAAAGTGTGCGATTTAGCATGTCAGCAGAGAGAACTGGTTTGTTAAGTCGCTCCCCTGGGGTCCCCTCCCAGCGCCCCTCACCCCTCCACCCCCCCACCCCCCCTTATCAGCAGTTGTAGTTCACACAGTAGCATTTTGTTTGGCCGGTACACAGGGGTCGTTACAGCATTTAGACACACAGACTCTGCAGACAAACACACAGAAACAGACACACACACACACACACACACACACACACACACACACACACACACACACACACACACACACACCCCTGGGAATTCAGTCTTTCATGGCTCTTGTTTCAAGGCAAGCAGCAGAGCAGAGGTCACTGAATGCATTTGTTGCTCATACAGTCGAATGTCCACGTTAAACATATGGCTGCACTTCAGTGCTCACACATTCATTACTCACATTCAGGTATATGTATAAAAAACTAAGCATCGCCGCTCTGACTAAAGCATGAAGAAGTATATTTTCTCTAACAATAACCTGCTGACAGCTTTTAATCCTCCAAATAACACTTTATGTTCTCCTTTGCTGACTGTTATTTAATTTTGGGGATTCACAAAAACCCAAATGACCACACTGAGCTAATGTCAGGATACTTTTTTTTAAAGGGTGTGTCTCTGTAGTTTTAGTTGGGAGCATTTGGTTTCCATCAAGAGGAAATCTCAGTCCCTCAGTCCCCACAGACGACCATGTTAGGATGTCCAGCAGAAATAAACAGGAAACTCTTTGCACAGTTTGTTGGTGCCTTTTGCACATTTGTAATTATGTGAAAACTTCCTGAGCACTTCATTGTGCAAACAGCTTTTTTCATGCTTTACTTTGCACTGAATTTGCTAATTTTGCACCTGCACAGTTTATAAATGCAGCTCATTATCAAAGCTTATTAATGGCAGCTGATAATTTAACAATGCACCCACCAAATTAATTATGCTTTTGGTGCAGTTTTGCTGTGAGCATCCATTCACCTCTATACAGTAAAAAAGGCTTATAGAAAATGCAGATGGTGTCCTTATTCTGAAGTCATTATGTTGTGCGGTTGCCAGTATGGGGGCAGAGACGCATCTGATAGGCTGGATTTGTGTGTGTAAACTAGAGACCATGACAGCAGCCTGGACTGTAACAGTGAGTCACAAATATTGAAACAAAAGTCCAAAAGGTGAAAATAAAATGGAGGGATGGTGTTGTACGGAGTTCCCCTGCTATGATACAACAGCTCCATTCTTCTCCTCTGCTGCCCATATAGCATTTGGCTGCCCTGTCAGTGACTGTGCGCCGGGTTTATTGCTTTATCACCGCCTGCGTCGGCTCAATCCATGACAGACACACACACCCCCACACACACACACACACACACCACACACATACACACACACCACACACACACACACACACACACACACACACACACACACACACACCAGCGAACCCTTCTCCAGGTGTTAAACCAAGCCATCCGTCCCACTGTTGCCATTGTCACGGCAGCAACTCTTAGCCCATCTGATAATCTTTTGCACATTAAGAATCTATTAAGCACCACAAACTCAACCCTCCCACACACCCACACATTCACAGAAAAATCACACGGTGGGTTATTTTGACTCTTGAAATAAATGGCACATGCCTTATTTTGCATTAGCGATCAGCGGGCGTGAAGGGAAGGGTAGGCTCTCTATTCATTCCACCCATGTTTTTTCCCTCCTCCTGTACCAGCAGCAGGGAGAGGAACGCCGGCCAGTTCCTGCATTCCTTCCCACCACCTTGTAATCCAATAAGAAATGTGTAGCCTTGCAGCTTTTGACAAGTAGCTCCCACTTAATTACCATGTTGTCGAAGCTGACAGGCCCGGGGGCCAATGGGGGCAACATGCTGGTGGTTCATAGCTTAAGGAGGCTGGGAAAATCCTGCACACACACACACACACACACACACACACACACACACACACACACACACAATTATGATATTTTTGCAGTACCAGTGACAAAAAAGGCTGCAAAGATGTATCCACGCCCTGACAATAGCGCAGGGTTCTCAGTCCTTATAAACGGAGGTGCAAGACAAGGAAACACCAGCATTATTTTCTTTTTCGAGATATCACAATAAAATAAAATATATGACATTTCCAGTGTGCAGTGGCATGTCTGAGCGTTCATGGTGGTGAGATGTTCCACTTGTGCCTAACAGGATGTGAAATTCAAACCTCACATTATCCTGCAGGAATCAACGTTTTACAGACGACACTGGAAACAACCGTGAACAGGAAATAAGTGGAAGGACATCACTGCAGCTCACATACGCCCACGATGAGTGTCAATGTCACACAAATTTTGGGCCTTTAGTGATTTCTTTGAGTTTTTCTTCTGACACACAAGTTTGAATTTATGACGGGGGCTGGTTTGCTGCCAGTGCAAAAAATGGACAGTTCAATGAAGAAAGAAAATAATCTCCAAACTTTTCTCCTCTGATCAACAGACGTTGAAACTTGGACACAACTGGGTGTTCCAGCAGGACAATGATCTCAAACACATGTCAGAACTGCTTTATTTATTGGAATAAATAAAGCGGGCTCACATTAAGCTTCTGGAATGATCTTTCCTGATCTCAACCCTACTGAAAACTTAAATGCCGAGTCCATGTTGACAAACCATCCAATATAAATGAATAATTCCAGTTGGAGTCAAGTCTTCATCCAGAATTACCATCAGTATCTGATCAAAGTGCTAAAGTACCATTTAACCAATATTAGTGGGAGTGTATGTATATATTTGGGTGTGTATTTATACTTTGAACCCTGTGAGGAAATAAATTTAAACTAAACAACAGTTTAAACATGCTCGTGATGATTGCGTCCACACTGAAGGCTCAGTGGGGATTGTGAGGTCTGAGGCGAGACAAACCTTTGTTTATCAACACAGTCGCGAGGGTAGAAGTGAAACTCAAAGGAAGACAGCGCTAACAGTCAAAGTAAAACAGGAAAAAGATATCAACTAAACGCAGCGACAGAAGGATCACTG